AGGGGCAAGAGGGGCAAGCCCCCCTCACCTATATATCTCTCTCTCTCTCTCTCTCTCTTTCTTTCGCCAGGGTTAGGGGCAAGGGGTTGCCTCTCTCTCTTTATTTTGAAATTTCAGATGTGTCTGTAGTCTCAAATGGGTAATGAAGCCAAATTTTAGTGTATTATCTTGTATTTTGTTTGGCGATCCGAGTTCTTCATCTTGTCTCCCCATCTGAGAAGGATAAGCTCCTCAAATCAACCTGGAACATGCAAGTATCAGATATCTTCCCACTTGCATGTCTCTACAAGCTTGGGAACAAAACGGCCTGTTGTTCTCCGAGCCCTGCGGCGAAAGAAGTACGACGACGGAAGGACTGCCAAGCAAAATCAGTCAAGGAAAGCTTGACAGAGACATAAATCACCTCTTTCATCCTGCCTCGTAGTTGGCGCGGTGCAAGCGTATCCTCGGTGGTCCTTCACACGAATGCATCGGCGCCGACGCATGTTGGTCATTGATCCAGTTCGAAGCACAGAACGGCTGTTTTTCCTGACTTTGAGACCATGGAAGATCTGGCGGATGGTGATGGACCTGGCTGAAGTCACATCGCGAGCTGCCCCAAGAGTTCACGCAAGGTTCGGACACAGACCTGACTGTTTGACCGTATCGCTTCGCAGTAGATCTCGATAGATGCTGAGCAGCTCCTGGCCTGAGATAGCGCCACAAAGTGACGGGGCCGACGGGGCCCACTCTACTGCTGCAGCTCAAACCCAAGATCAGAACTGAAGTCTCGATGGAAGAGGCGCTGCTGCTCCTCGATTCCTGTCTCCGGCGGACTGCAGAAACAATGGCTCACTGCTCATTGGAGGCGGCTTTCGGGCCCCGTGTGCCTTTGAGCTGTGGCGGAGGAGATCTCCTGGCAAGTCAAGCGTACAAAGGCACATTGGGACCGGGACCTACCACTATGTCTGAGACTCGAACAAGGGGTCATTCATCTGTACCGACTCAATGGCCATACCCATGGACTGCAGATCACCTCCCAACGAAAGCCCTCGCGGCGCTACCCGCGGTCGAAGGAGGCCAAGGAGGCTCGAGGCTCCGCGCGGAACCGCGCCTGCCAGGCCCGCAAGGCCAGCCGTATCTGCAGCCGCGCATAACATGCTTCGTCTCATAAAACTCATGCCACCATTTTCTCATGTAGGTGAGGCACTTGGGGCTGAGGCATCCGTTCCTGGCTCCAGGCTGAGCTCAGGGAGTCCACAATCTTATTCACGGGCCTGCGTCCCTCCATCGGTTCGGACGCTTCGCGGCCTGGCAGGTGCACAACCAAAACCCCCCTTCCACATGCGAAGCAGGGCACCTCTGCCAGAACTTGTGATCGATACTCTGGCCGTATGTGCATAGCGACCTAAAGCATGCACCAGCTCGAGCATCACACAGCCGGACAAGCTAACTGCCAAACACATGTGGCTGTACACTCGGATCACCCGCCTGCCTTAAAGCAGGAAGTCACGCAAGTCATCAGGGTCCGCTCTGCCAAGAATCCGATCGACTATCGGAAGGTTTTACTTGCTTCGGCCAGCAAGTGATGTGCTGCTGCTCTCGTGGCTGCTTCCAACACAGGAAGACTTTTAAAAATGACTGGGCAAGTCAAAAATAATGCACCTGCCAAGCAAAACCCTGAAGCTGCGTGCATTCCTGGAGAATATCGAAGCCGGAGGTGTGCAACCATACCCTGACTGCAAGATGGAAGAAACAAGCATCGGCGCCTGAAGAATTCGCAGGAGTGTGAGCCACCAGTCGCGCAAGTGTGCTGGACACGACACGCTAAAGACCCTGCCATCAGCTTTGAAGCTTTTCCTGTCCTGCAGGGCCACAGGCACGCTTGAACTGAAATTAGGCGGTTAGACACGTCTCGCTCCTCAGATCCGTGCTGGCATCCGACACCACTACGTCAGTTTCAAAAAGCTTCCCCTGCGCATCGCGCATGGTGACCTGACAAAAAGAAGGGCCCTGCTAGAACATGCTGGCAAATGCGGGCATGCTGGCAAAGCATCGCAGAGCATGGCAGAGCCAAGCTGACGACCCTCAGCCGCTTTGGACCGTCACTCAGAGAATCATCTTCAGGAAACTGCCTCGCTGATGCCGCGCTGCACATGTTTGGTCACGCTTGCACTCCGAAGAAATCATCAGTTCCGAGGCGCTTCTTCATCGAGGAGAGAAATTTTGCCTGCAGGAAGGGCACGACAAGTAGGTCTAAGTAGGTGCAACAGGCACGAACCCCTGTCCTTCTCCGCGTTGTCCTTCAAGTAGTCTGTGAAAATCTCATGCAACATCGGCCTGAGCTGAGGCAAGAACACTTTGGGTGCAAGCTTTCAACATCAAACTCAAGGTGGAAATTGCTCGCGGTCCATGGATGTATGAGTTCGTCCCAAACGGGGGTGTGGCGATCGACTGCAGGAGGAACCCAAGCCAATCTACCCTCATGCATCTGCTCATGCGAAACGAGCCCTATGTTCAGATGCACTTTTCACTTTGACTTTGAAACTCACCAGCATCGATGGGAGAAGCCTTAGACCGGCTACTTGGAATACAAAGTGGTAGCTAGGCTGCGTATCGGCCCGAATGTGCAGCACGAACCTTCGGCAGAGACGCTCTCGAACTCGAAAGTCCGGCAAAAGGAAACAGAGAGAAGGCTAGAACAAACCCAGAACAGAAGCCCAGATAAAGCTATCCAACTAGTCGGATGACAGGCAGCGATCACAAAACTAATTGAATCGCGGCCCGCAAGCGTGACCTTCAAGTCTCAATGCCTGAGCTGCTTGATTTTGCCTGGCCTGATTCAGGATCGAATCCAGGCTTGCTATTTCTGTCACAAAGAGAGAGCTTCAACAAAGAGCTGGCCGACGGGGTTCTCTGCTTTTGATGGGACATACTTGCCACAGCCTCTTGTTGAAACCTGTGCTGTGAGACTTGCCATCTGCGCTACTATTCCATCCAAGTTCTGAGCTCAGCCCATTTGTCATAGTGCCGAGAATGTCCTGCCTTCCTCGGATGGTTTTCCTATGGCACCATTAACACGGCACGTCCTGATAGAGATTTGCGACAACTGGACTTGCAAGAGGTGAAATCATCCGAACCCAACCTCGCTTCGATTGGTTGCATATCTAGGGCCTTAAGGCCTCTGAGTTGCACATCTTATTTGCTCAGCTTTCACTCGCACAAGCTGCTTGACCTCAGCCTGGAAGCTAGCTGCTAGAGTCCGTTTCCTGCGTTCCTGAAATGGAGCCTTTCGGTCGCGGTCTCAGCCCTGATTCTTTTGAGAAGCATGGCGTTGCATTGTTACAACGACGATCGTGGTTCGTTGAAAATGAAAAAAGCATAAGCTGGGCTTATTCAACACCAGATTGCCACGCTTTCGGGTCTTTGCAGAGTCACTATACCTTCGATCTTCTGCTTCGTCTTCTAGCACTGATATGTCGACCTCTGCAACTCTGCTGCGTCACATCCGCACAGTTCCTAAGGACGACACCTCTTGAAGAGCCTGTCCGCGCTTTCGTTGCTGGCGGAAATCGCAAAGTAGGCGTTTGTTGTCAGCACCGTGTCACAGAGGGCCGTCAACACCTGAGCCGTGGAAGGTCAGCGACGTCCGACTTGTTCTGACAACGAACAAACTCATGGTCGCCGACAGCTCGTTTCCGGCGTTCAAGGTCATCCTTCAAAATCGAAGCTGCCTTGCTGCCCATGCATGGCAGACCTTGAGAGCCTCGCCTCGAAGGCCTGGGAATGAAGAGCAGACCTTGAGAGCACCGGCGACTGTGCATTCCGGAGTCCCTGGAACCTTTCTTTAGGACACATGCTCAAAATTTGCTGCCCTTCTAAAGACTGCATCTCCGCACAACGCCTGATCTCCTGCGGTCCAGGCGTGAGCGACAATGCTTCAGAGTCTCCGCTCTTTATGTCCTGCAAGCGACCAGGTGGCAGAAGACAGGCTAAAAGAACTTCTTGAGGCAAGCGGAAAAACTGAATTAACCGCATGCCCAGGAGACGCAACGCGATGATCCGTTTTGAAAGGTGCCTTCTCAGGGTTCAAGGCGCCCAGCACGATGGTCGAGCCGATAATCAAAATGGCAATGTTGAAAATCACCTCAGAAACAGCTAAAACTCGGGCTAACGGATATCCTCTAAGACTGTTGCACCGGAGGTACTAGGTCAAACCGCACCGTGGGCGAATCCAGTGCCGTTGGATCGAGAGCTTCCACAAACGCACTAAGCACCTGCCGTGGAGCCCTTAGACTCCATTTGTCGCGTGCCGTGGAAACATGTCATGCATGTCATTTGCGGCTTCAGATCTCTACCGCGGAATCTCCAAAGTCCAGCCTCCGCAGCTGAGAGCGCGAGGCTCAGGAAGAACTCGCCCATCACCATACATGCCAGATGCCTTTTTGCTCATTGCCATGCTGCAGACATGCCACAGAGGATGCGAGCAGGCCTCCATGATGGCATAATCTGCGATAACGAACACACCTTCGCGTAAATCCCACAACAAACAACGTATAAGCACTTGTACATGTTGCGAAGAAGCTTTAAACTGTGCTTTTTGGCACCACAACGGCAGCAATGTTCAAGATCGTGTGCAGCTCCTGCGGCCACACCTTCAAGACAGGCAGACCAGAAACTGACATATCATATGTTCCGCTTTCCGGGAATTTGCCCACAGCAAATCCGAGGCCAGTACCACGAATAGATCAACGACGTTGTCTCGCCAAAAAGGGTGCGACAGCATGTTCCAGATTGACCATACAACCTACCAGGTATCTTTCCTCACGCTTCTGAACAATCCTGCTTCCTTTCTGAGTTGCTGACGGTCAACAGCCAGAAGTTGTTGCTGGGAAACTCCTTCCTGCTAGGTGCTGACGAGTTTACGAGCGCGAAGGTAATCTGCATACACTCCAGCCTGTATGCCGTCTCGAAATATCCCAGCATCAAGTGTCCAGTGAAGATGGTCACGTCGAGGAACTGTGCAACATGTCAATTATGTGCGGCAATGTAAAGTCCGGAGACCTTGTTGGAGCGACAATGAAAACTCACCCGGGAACACCCGACATTGGGGGGATGGGGGGCGGGCAGAGACACGGATACATGGATTCAAAGGACGTTGCTTCTCTTTTCGGAGGGGTTGCGGAGTCACACAACCGGATGCACGAAGAGCAAAGCGAAGGTCGGCCACGTCGGGTGAACGGATTCTTGCAAGTGGCATGTTCACACGACATTCATACTCAAATGCAGCCGAGAGCACCAAAGCAACCATGCTCAGCAGCGGCATGCAGGTGCGATTCTCCCTGGCAGGGCACGTGAGCTATCGCCCAACCTCTGAAAGAACCGTGCAAGTGTCTGCAGAGCTCAGGGTGGATCTGGCACTCACCAAGAGCAGAAGGCACCAGCCTCGCTGCATTCAGGCTTTGCCTGCTCTAATTATTAACAATATATTCCAGAGCCAAGGGCAGGACAAGAGGAAGAAGCACATGTTCTGAACAATCACCTCGTTCGTCAGCGATCTGTCTTGGGGTAGGAACACTGTACGTATGTGTACACCAAGCACCAGACCAGCATCGTGGCTGTCCTAACCAGACCAGCACACTTGCTCGCAGGGCCCAGGACTTGTCAGGTGTGTGAATTGCAAGGCGAATCACTCGCCTCAGATTGGATGATGCTGCAGTTTGATGCTGCTTACTGTTCTACAGAGTTGCAGGCATTGGCTCACGCAGTGAGTTGTTCTGGGCACATAGGGTATCCAAGTGCCTTCTCAAAGTGCTAGCTTCCAGGAAACAGCGCAAGGCTCAAGGCACAACGCAGAAGGCGAAAGACTTTACGAGCCTCAAGCCGAAGAAACACCAAAAGCTAGAACATCGGGGCTGACCAGGAGGCAAGAGCGAAGAGAGCCCTTCTTCTTCTGTTAGCTGCTCCGCTTCTACGGGCATTAGCATAAAGCATCGCGACGATGTCTGCTGGATATACTGGTCAGGACTTCAGGCACAAGTCACCAGCAAGGCTTAGTCGTGGAGGTTCGAGGCCGCTACCGAGCAAGGTCAAGTCCAACAGAAGGTCATCATCGCTCAAGCAGGGGTGACTGTGAACAGTGGCGAAGTCGAACGGAAGGCAGCAAGCAGCCACGATTTAGGAGCCTTGATGGATCTGCCTTGTGCCTCTTCTTGCAAGATTGGGCTCGGATTGGCTTCTAAAGTTGCACCGAACTGGCCTCAGAGAGCAAGCCACTTCTTCGGTTGACCAACAGGGCCGACTGGCCTCACAGATGTGCTGGCCGTGCCACGGCAGGAAAGAAAATCGGGGACGGAGGGCGCGGTGTGCATACTGTCGCCTTTGGCTTGTTGACTTTGTGCTCTTCTGAGTGCTCTTTGGGCAAAGCCTGTTTCACGGAAGCGCAGGAAGGAAGAACAAATCGCTAGACTTGCGGCTTGCACAACCTGAATCTTCTAGGCATGAAACAGCCCGGGGCACCTCGCCATGCGAGAGCAGGGACCTCACGAGGACAAGATTCGAAGTCAACACAACGGCTGTGGAATTTTGTGAAAAGCAACGATGGAGCACTGCTGCTGCAGATAAGACTACCGCCTCTGGTTCGATATTTCTAGCGGCCAAAGACTTCTCAACTGTCACATGGTGTGGTCTGTCAAGGTACTTCCCGTTCTTCTCCACCGCGGCGTTGTTTTGCATGGTGCCTGCTTCGAGCTCATCGTTCTTTCGGCGAAGGCTCTGCAACTGCCTGGCAAGTCGAGATTGCAGAATTGCAGCTCTCTAGGCTTCCTCTTATCGATCTCCGCTCGTATATCTTCCGAACTGCTTCTTCGGTCTACCATAAACTTAGCTGACCTCGTGCTACATTCGGGGCCATAATGCTGTACATGTGAAAGGAATCTGGCAGGTTCAGCATCGCAAAAGATTTCGTGCGCTTTGAATTCTGGCCGGAGCATTTCACATGAACCTGCCCCAAGCGATGGCTCAAGATGCCACTTGTCGAGCGACTTCTGAGCCCCATCGGACTGCCTGACTCGCACATTTAGAGCTTTGCCGCTCCCGCTCTCCTTTTTGGGTCCGCCGTATTTGCCGGTCGCTTTGCCGGCCTGCCCCAGACCAGGTTTCCATTTGCACCGCTCTCCCTCATCACTCATCTTCTTGCACAAGTGATTCAAAGCTCCCGTGGTCTTGGAGTGTGCAGTACAGGAAAAACAGCAGACGTTTGCCAAGTAAGCTCGCTTGCCCTTCTTTGTTTGCTTCAACGCAGAGGCAGGCTAGGCAAAACGAGTTTTGCCTTCCGAGCAGATCGAGCTGGGGCGCACGATGCAACCATCGCTTCCCCTTTGCCAATCGAGTTTGCTGTACCGTTTACGCGTGTCGGCGATACCAAGCATGGCCATCCCAGAAAGAAACTCTACAGTAACACCAAGATCTGCTATTGGCCAGGCTCTCGCACAGCCCCGTATCCGATCCGCATTTTACACCTGCAGCAAACTGTGCTGAAGAGGTAAAGCAGGCAAGAATTTAATCTGAAACTAACGCGAGATTTCAGATCCGAGATGCTCACACGAGAGCCTCAGTACCTACAACTAGCAACACATGATTCAGTTTATCAAACGAGGCCCTGCCAGACAAGCCCTCATTTTGCTCTTCTTGGAAACTAAGGAGAACGGATGGGAGGACATCGAAACTTTCGAAAATGCTACTGCCTGGTTGCAGTGCTATCTTTGACGTAACACCGTGGCCTTGCCGCAGTGGCTGATGCACTGACTGAGCTTGCTGGATCCTGGTAGCGAAGAAAGTCGGGCTGAAAGTGGTAGCCGCACGCACGCACGCACATGCCCGCCTCGGCTGCATCAGGAAGGTCGTGTCGAGTGGACTTGGACCTAGCCTGGGCGAAAGTCTTTAGTGTTGGTCCACAAACTGCTTCTACCGACTGCTGCGTGAGACAACCTCGAACGGAGAAAGATGCCAGGAAAGAATCTTTGCTGGCCTTCTTCCCAGAACTTCCCAATGCCATGTGCTGTTGACCGAGAGGCGTTTGCACTGCGAGGCTCTAAGGGAAGATGTGCTGCGTTGGTAGCTACCGACGAGCTATGAAGCTGCATGCCAAAGGTGTCGAGTTGCGAAGCTGCAAGAGCAAGTGGCTCGAATGAACTTGGAGTGGGACAGGGTCTCTGTAATTTGGGCCGTTCTAGAGACAGGATAGCGAAGGCTTCACGTCAGCACAGGGCACCCTGATGTGAACTGAGGAAGACCGCATGCGCTGCGCAGGCGTGGCCGGCAAGGCGCAGCGAGGCCCGATTTTCCTCTGCAGCACAAGTCCTCGAAACAGAGGATCTTCGAATGTCACGGCATGTGAGCCTGCATAGGCACTAGTTGTGCCTCTTGGCTCAGGACTGTTCCTCAAGAGCACTCAGGCAACTGACGAAAACCCCCCAGAAAGTCCAAGCAGGAGGTCAAAAACGAACACAACAGATTTCTACTGCCCCAAAAGCTCCAGAAGAGGGAGACTTCGGATGAAAGATAAGCAACGGACGCCCCGTACTGCAGTTTGGACCTTGCAAGCTCCAGAGCTGCTGAAGCATTGCAGCTGTACGCACACTTCTCTGCGCATCGCACTGGTGAAACTGGGGGTAGGAAATGAAGATCAGTTCGAGTCATCTTTGCCAGCGACTGAAGCCGGCGGAGAAAAAGTGCGACACTCTTGTGGTCATCGACTTGACAGCTCTGGTTCCACACAGAAAGCTTGCCAACTTGAATATTCGTCCACTTGTCTTCGTTCAGAAAAACTGCGAGTTGCCAAATCCACCTGCAGATGCCTAGCATGAAAAAGGTTGTTGCTGGCTTTCCCCATTGCCCGTGATGCAACATGATCTCTGTCAAGCTGCGAGACATGGGAGTTGCTTTTTTACCTTAGGCCACACGGAGGGAAAGTGAAAACACAACGCCCTTTCTCTCTGGAGGGATGTCACCAGATGTGTTCAAAATAGCTGCATCCCTTCCAAGTCCGAGTGTTTGCCAGCTATCGCAGGTCAATTCCAGTGACTCCTTTGGACACTGGACAAGCAAATTGGCTCGAGGGACAGCAGAACACCAGCAAATACCGGATCACCTCGCGCAGGAAACCAATGTCGAAAATTGCGTACTGGAAGATGTTTCGGGGCTTCGTGGAGTCTTAAAATAGTCAACTGACTGAATCTGGCATGGGCAATGGACTGCGCAGGATCTATCTGGTCCTCTTACACCACTTTGTCCACTGCCCCAGATGTCTCTGCATTTCTGCTTGCTCCCGCTTGGTCTCAACATGCAACATGAGGAAAAACTAAATTGGCTATGCTCGTCCCACTTCGCTGCACCGTGCAAAAAACCACGCGTGTGGAAGTATCACAATGCCACGACAGATGAGAAGAACCTTGGTACATCTCGACAATCAAAATTAACAGCGTTGCTGCACGTTACGTCTCGCCCATGCGAAGGAAAGATGCTGAGTTCAGCACGGCTTGCGGTTGCTCCTCATGACCTCCGTCCTCTTGAAAGCTTGGAGGTTGTTCAGCGCGCCCTGAAATGCATTCGCAAATCCGTCGCAAGGGATGCAGCCAACGAAAACAGTTTGTGCGGCAGCCTGCACGTGCGCAGGTACCACAATGCAGGCCTGAGAATAGTGTTCTGACCCATGTGGTGGGTACCCCACACGCAGCAGCACTGCGCAAAACACGCCATCTTGCCTTCGCAGAGCCTGAATTTGGAAAACGGTACCCGTCCATCTTGTTCTGAAAGTCGGCCGCATCCTGCGTGTGAAGTTGTGAACATCAAGCACACGGCTTCAAACCTTTTTGTAGGTGTCGCAAGACGTGGTTGATATTGCATTCACTCACCCGCCTGCTAAGGTGCTTCCTGACGTGCCTTAAGGCCTTAGGGCAACGTCCTCCATCCCTCGGGTTGCGGCGGCATCGTTGTGAGGTCATCCCGGGTTGGCAGGGTCAGCGTGCTGGGACTTCTACTTGAGGGCCCGCCTGTTGGACAACGTCAATCATCTGCTTTCCCCATTTATTAAGCACCCCCTGACAATAAAACACTCGGGGCCAATCCTCCCGAAATCATATCTGCCCGTTAACACCTACTTTGCATTAGGGGAGGTCCGGAGCAAGAGCATGAGGAGGAGGCAAGAGCAGGAGCAACAGCAAAAACAGGAAAAAACAAGTGCCAAGAGCTAGAGTAGGAGCAACAGCAAGAGCAGGAGCAAGGAAAAGAGCAGGAGCAACAGCAAGAGCAAGTGCAAGCGCAAAAGCAAGAGCAAGAGCAGGAGTAAGAGCGAGAGCAAAGCAACAGCTAGCAAGAGCTGGTGTAAGAGCAAAAGCAACAGCAAAGGAAAGAGCAGGAACTAGAGCAAGAGCAGGAGCAAGGGCAAAAGCAAGAGCAGGAGTAAGAGCAAGAGCAAAAAGAAGAGCAGGAGCAACAGCAAGAGCAGGAGCCAAAGCCGGCGCAGGAGCAGAGCCGGAGCAGGGGCAACAGTAGTGACAGTAGGGATGAAAATGCCCCCTAAGAATTAAACCACTTTCCGACTTTGTCTTTCAGGGAGCCCCCCGTTTACTGTTGGGATTAAGGTAAAGGGATTATCTGTGTTGGTTGCATCTTTCGCATTCGACGCATCTCTTGCGGACCAAAAAGTTCATGTGTGAATCCGCGGATGGACGAACTTGTGAGGCATTCTGGTTGCAAACTTCTACGATTCTACGCATCGTGCTCAGTTCAGATCACACTCGCAAAGACCGGTCTGAACACTGCACACTGCCACCGAATGCTTACACAGATTGAAACCGGCCACACTTTCGACAGCATGAAGCGATTCCCGAAAGCAACCGTTCCTTCAAAGTGAACTATCCTCTAGCAAGCAAACCCCTTCAAAATCGCTCACTCATGAACATGTCCAAAGCCTCCGACGGCCTTTCAATAATGGGTGTTGTGAGTACTTCAGGACTGTCCGACACCATGTTGGCAGGTACACTTTCAAAGTCGTCCATATTGGCTTCAACATGTGGTCTGTGGGTTACCAGATCCCGAAAACAATCACCTGGCTTGACACGCAAGAAGCTGCTGCATGCTCGACACTCTCGGGAACACTCATTTCGCATCTGCGCCTGTGGGAACTGTCTCAGTGAATCTCGGGAGCCCGCTGTTGGATTTTGGTCCGGGTCCGCGCTGCAGCATCACGCACCGGGCTGTAGAAGGATCAGCAGAGGAACGGTCCGAACCAGAAAGGCGTGGGCTTACAAACCCGACATCCTGAGACCTTGAAGCCACAGCAGGCGCGGATGGGTGAAAAGAACTAAACCCTAAAAGGAGCGGGCGCAGAAACCCAGAGCCAAAATCCTACAAGACGGAAGGTGCGAGAACCGACATCCCGAACAGGAGTGCCTGGTTTCGTAAACTCTAATCTCAGAATCCTAGAAGGCGGCGCAAAAACTCATCAAAGGAGCGGCTGGTGCAGAAATCCAAGACCCTACTCTAAAAGGAGCGAGTAGCTGGTGCAAAAGCTTAAACCCCAAAACAGAGTGGACGGATGCGACACCCAAAACCCTAAATCAACGTGTGCAGAAACCCAAAACCCGAAGAGGAGTGGCTGGTGCAAAGAATCAAACCCTGAACGGAGTGGGTACCCGCGAAACCCTACATGGAGTTTGCACGTGCGAAACCCAGAACCCTAAGAAGTGTAGCTGGTGCAACACCCCTGATCGGAGTGGGTGGGTGCGAAGCCCGAAATTTCAAAGGAATGAGCGGGTGCGACACCCAAAAGCTTTAGAGGAGCAGCTTTTGGGCGCGCGAAACCCCAACCTGATGGCTGCGAAACCCAGCACCCCAACAGGAGCGGGCTGGCAAGAGCAGGAGCAACAACAAAACCAAGGAGCAACACCGAAGGCAAACAAGAGCAAAAGCAAGAGCAGGAGTAAGAGCAAGAGCAGACGGAAGAGCAGGAGCAACAGCAAGGGCAGGAGTAAGGACAAGAGCAGAAGGAAGAGCAGGAGCAACGGCAGGAGCAGGAGCAAAAGCCGCCCAGGAGCAGAGCCGGAGCAGGAGCAACAGAAGTAACAGAAGTGACAATAGGGATACAAATGCCCCCTAATAATAAGACCACTTTCCGAAGTTTTTTTTGGGGGCACCCCTTTACTATTAGGGGGAAGGGATTCAGGTGCTGAACTTCTCTTATAGAACTGCGGATGGAGGAACTTGCGAAACATTCTTGTTGCAAACTTCTACGATTCTACGCATCGTGCTCAGTCCAGACCACACTCACAAACATCAGTCTGAACACTGCACACCAACCGAACGCTTACACAGATTGAAACCGGCCACACTTTCGACAGCATGAAGCGATTTCCGAAAGCAAGCCCCTGCAAAATCGCTCACTCATGAAAATGTCCAAAGCCTCCGACGGCCTTTCAGTAGTGGGTGTTGCAAGTACTTCAGGACTGTCCGACACCATGTTGGCAGGTACACTTTCGAAGTCGCGTGGGTTACCAAATCCCAAAAACAATCACCTGGCTTGACACGCAAGAGGCTGCTGCAGACTCGACACTCTCGCGAACACTCATTTCGCATCTGCGCCTGCGGGAACTGACTAAATCATTCTCGGGAGCCCGCTGTTGGATTTTGGTCGGGGTCCGCGCTGCAGCACCATGCGCCGGGCTGTAGCTGTAGAGGGATCCCGAACCAGAAAAGCATGGGCTTGCAAAACCGACATCCTGAAACCTTGAAGCCACAGCAGGCGCGGATGGGTGCCACCAGCTAAACCCTGAAAGGAGCGGGTGCGGAAACCCAAAGCCAAAATCCTACAAGATGTGGGAAAGCGCGAGAACCCACATCTGGCTTCGTTGAAAAGAGTGAGTCGGTGGGGGCACAGGCACCAAATCCGAAAAGGAGTACCCAAAAAAACAACGCACGGGCGCGAAATCCTGCACCTTCAAAGGAGTTGGTCGGTGCGAAACCCAAAACGTTCAAAGGAGTGGCTGGCGCAAAAGCCCAAGCCCGAAAGGAGTGGTGCGAAAACCAGAATCCTAAAGCAAGTGGCTGCGTGCGAAGAGCCAAGACCCTACAACGAGCCGGTGGGTGCAAAAATCCAAAACACTAAACGGAGAAGGAATGGGTGGGCGCTGAAGCCCCAAACCCCAAAACGGAATATGTTCTGAACTTGAAAATGTCCAAAAACTCCGACGGCCCTCCAATAATGGGCGTTGTAAATACTTCAAGACTGTCCGACACCATGTTGCCATCGCAGGCGCGGGTGGGTGCCACGAGCTAAACCCTAAAAGGAGCGGGCGCGGAAACCCAAGGCCAAAATCCTACAAGATGTGGGAAAGCGCGAGAACCCACATCTGGCTTCTTTTCAGCCTGGGGGCCGAAGCCCGAAACCCTAGGAGTATGAGCCCAAACCCAAAGCCCTAAATGGAGTAGCCGTAGCTCCCAAGCCCCTGAAAAGAGTGGGTGGGTACGAAACCCAAGACCCTGACACGAGTCGGTGGGTGCAAAACCCCCAAAACCCGAAAGGAGTAGCTGGTGCCAAAAAAGAATGCATGGGTGCGAAGCCCCGCACCTTAAAAGGAGTCGGTGGGTGCGAAACCCCAAACCCTCACAGGAGTGGCTGGCGCAACAACCCAAACCGCGGGAGAGTGTGGAAACCCAAAACCGCAGAAACCCGAAAACGAGCGGCATGGTGCGGAAAAAACCAAAAAAGCGGCTGCATGCGAAAAGCCAAGACCCTACAACGAGCCGGTGGGTGCACAACACCCAAACCCTAAAAAGAGAAGAAATGGGTGGGTGCTGAAGC